GGGCTGTATAAATACGGAGCAAGACCTTGTCTGTGCAGGGAGTGATTATTGTCTACAGCAGCTATTGTATGTCCCTGTCTGCACTCCATTCGGGAACAAAGTGACTTTTCTTTCCAAAGGCGGAGGTGATACGGGAGCTGTGCCAGGTGCACGATTTCCCCGGATAGGCAAGATCTAAGAGCCGCTTCCCAAAGTCTTGCTCCGCTCTCTCACGCAACCTTTTATCCCCCGGCCCGGACCTGCTGCCTCCGGGGACCTCCTGCTTTCCCAAGTGTTTTCTAACAGAATGGGCTAAGGGATGGCTTTCAGGGAAGCCTGAGAAGCTGTCCCCGCTGAAATACTATACGTTGGGCCAAACCTGCGGAAAAATGGCTTTGCCTCTTTGGGAAACTAATAGGAGGAAGAGGATGTGGTTATTGGAGATAATGAGAAGTGATGCGACCTGGCATAGCCTTTGACCCTCCATGGTTAAGTCGCTCGGGTAGCAGGATGGTGACGAATGGCGCTGAGCTGGGATGTTATAAAAAAGCAAGAGGTCGTGTTAGTTCTGCCCTCTTTTCTGTGGGAGATGGGTTATTTCCCCAGCTGATGGCTCAAGTTCCCTAAACAGCGACAGTTACAGAGTGGTTTGGGTTGGAAGGGACCTCAAAGACCATCTCGTTCCACCCCCTGCCATGGGCAGGGACACCCTCCGCTGCACCAGGTCGCTCAAAGCCTCATCCATCCTGCCTTGGAAGTTGAAGGCGCTCAGCTACAGCAGTGGAAACAGCAACGTGAACATTGGCTGAAAATATCCTGGATGGTGGAGTTACCACTCTACATCCCGCAGTCGGTGGGCTGTGACGTTCAAAACGCCCCTTATGACATAGCACGGGAAATTTAACCCCCCCTACCCCTCTGCCACCCGCCCTCGCGCACCGACGCCGCTGCGGGGCCGTGCGGGGCTCCCGACCCCGTGAAATAACAACGCTGGGCTCCCGGGCCAAGTTTCCAGCTGTTTCCACATGTGCATCTCGCACTTACCTCCTCCTGTGCGCCTGTGCCAGGACCGGGATTCAATAAAATGCCACACTAATCCGCAGTCCTTTTTCATTAACTGACCAATTAAAGCTAGAGGAAAAGGGTTCTTCTTATTATTATTTCAGTTGGGAACACGTTCCCTGTAGCGCCGGGTGGTTTTTGTGTGTTTTTCGCGATGATTATAGAATCATAGAATCATAGAATGGTTAGGGCTGGAAGGGACCTTCAAAGGTCATCTAGTCCAACTCCCCTGCAAGGAACAGGGATATCTCCAACTAGATCAGGTTGCTCAGGGCCTCGTCCAACCTGGCCTTGAATGTCTCCAGGGATGGAGCATCCACCACCTCTCTGGGCAACCTGTTCCAGTGTTCTACAACTCTCATGGTAAAAAATTTTTTCCTAATATCCAACCTGAATCTACCTCCCTCTATTTTAAAACCATTACCCCTTGTCCTATCACAACAGGCCCTCCTGAACAGCCTCTCCCCATCTTTCTTCTCTTCTCTTCTGCTGTGTTGTCTCCGCGGAGTTTCGTCGCTGCCGTGTCTGGCTCGCTGGTGCCTGACTTAGCGGTGATTTGGGTTCAAAATCTGCAAATTTATTAAATACTTCTGTACACAAGTGGATGTATTCAAGGTGAGAACGCCGCGTTTATACTCTGGTCAAGCATGTAAGTGGAGAGGTCGGAGGATGGAAACGGTTGAGCAGTCTCAGGGCACGTTGCTCCCGGGCGGTGCGGGTACCCCGGGGCACACGGTTTGTCAGTCCACTGTGATAAACCTAAAATCTGATTTTTGGAGGTCTTGAGCGCTGGCACCAGCTGGGAGGACAGTGGAAGGTCTGGAGAGCTGCGCCTGTCGCGTTTCCGTGGGTCTGCATGGACCGTCCGTGAACACGGAAAGGTTTTGGCTTTGTGGAGAAGGTGACGTTACTTTGGGAACCTTAAGCTCTGCCCGAGCTGCCTTTCTCAGGCATTTCAGTTGGGTTGATGATGGGTTTTTTTACGTGGTTATGTTCCTTAGTTGCTTTCTGTGCTAAAACAGAAAGAAAAGTCTCAAAAGAGTGATGTTCACATCCGTGGTGGGCTGCACCTCTCCAGGGATGCTCTGTTCGGGGTCAGACAGTGAGTTGTGCAGCTCGTGGCACGTTTCGGCACGCTCCGACCAGCAGCTTGCAGCAGCAGGCTGTGCGGGTCACTGCTTGCCCAGCACAGGTATGGCACGGGCCCCGCATGGCAGGAGCTTTCGGAGGGCAGGAGGCAGGTGTGGGAGTTGGTCCGTGTCTCTCGATGGAGGCAGGGCAGCCTGGGGACCCGCGTCGCTGGTGCAGGGTCAGTCCCCACTGCCAGGCTTTGTGCTTGGTGAAGATCCAAAACCTAAAGGTGGACCCCATGCACCATCCCTGCCCACCGTAAAGCAACATATGCACCTATCCTGGCTTTTTTTTTATTTATTTTTTTTTAATTAATCCACTGGATGGTTCAAGGCTCTAGCTCTCCTGGTTTGGATGCTCAAAGCTGGCGAAAGCGGAGCGCAACGCCGGGCAAATCCCTCCCATCCTGACCCTCGCAGCTCTGCAAACAGCGTTGGGGTCGGGGTCTCACCGAATCCACAGACGGAGGAATGGTCACGCTCCCACCCTGGGGAGTGATGCTTCCCTGGATGCAGCCCAGATCTCCTGGACTCTTTTTTTTCCTCCCTTTGCCACCGTATCACTTTACAGAGTAATGAGTTAAACAGCGCGGTCGTTAGTGCAGCCCGGCTCCCGCGTGCTCCGAGCATCGCGGCGTGCGATATCTAAGCCTTCGTGCTGGGGGCAGTGGAGGGGGGGTCTGCACCGGGTGGAAATTTCTCACCGCAGACTTTGCTGGGGCCAGACATGTTGTAAATTTTACAAGAAAAACACTTTACAAACCAGAAGTCCCAACTCTTGTGTGCATGGAGCTGCTAATTAACAATTTGGAGACCGTGTGAGCCAGGGAGCCGATACCACCAGTACAGAGTCTCATGGTTTTGGATCAGGCTTTGAAGATTTGGGATCCTCCATAAAGCTCCAGCTCGGGGAGTCTGGTGATTTCTATTCCTGTTCCTCTCCAGCTTCTCCCCAACTTGCACACAGGAACCCTCACGCCTCCCAGGCCCTCCTACAAATAGTGATTGAAGTCATGCAGAGCGCTTTCCAAAGGGATCTCCATGGAGGCACAGGATGCTGAAGGTCTGACATCTTTACATTTACATATTTACTTTGCATATTTGATCATCTGCAATTGCTGTCACACCTCCTGGGAGGTCCCTGCTTACAGACAAGAATGCTCCAGGCTGCAGGTCCCAGCATGGCACCCACCCTCCCAAAGCCCGGCCTGAGCCGAGCACCTCGGGCATCACTGAGCCGTTGAGGGGCACGGAGCCACTCGGCATAGCTGGGAGCCCTGGCATCAGTTGTCCCATGAAACGGGACACTGCCAGCTTTTCCTGCAACCCTGCCATCCGTGGCTTGCAAGGTTTGTGTGTAACATCTCACGTGATGCCAAGCTCCTGGCTCCAGGACTCACCACGTCTCCCGTCCCACACCGCTGCGTCAGGGCCATGGTGGCCTCGGTCCCGTGGGGGCTGAGGTTGCCTTGTCCCACCTTGAGAGCTGCCACCACCTCCTCTGCTCCGGGAAGGGGACTGGGAGATGGGAGACAGGGGTGTTGGTGGAGAGAGGGGTGCGACAGAGGTTAAATGGGGCTTTGGGGTGGGACATGGCACGGGGGCTGGTGGTGGGAGACAGCCCTGGCTCCAGCACCCATCCGGGACAGCAGATGGAATGAGGCACGCGGTGAGGCAGGACGGAAACAGGCGGATGGGGAGAATAATCTTTTTTAAAAAGTTGTTGGCTTAAATAACTGTGGTTTTCCTCTAAATTGTGATGAGCACGGGTCAAGGACCCTGCGAGGTAGAGCTGCCGCTTGATGGGCCTTTCCACCAGCGTTTGGTGTTTTCCATCTCGTTTCGCTCCTCTGTTTCCCTTAGCAACGGAAATAACAAACTTCCCCATTCCAAAAGATTTGCAGAGTAACTTTGCCGTGATGCTGCGCGTTAGTCCCAGTCCTGCAGGTTTCGCTTTCCCACAGTGTCCCCTGCTGCCTGCCTTAAAAAATCCATGTAGGTACACATCAAAAAAAAAGAGGGCGAAAAAAAATCTTAAGTATAAAGCAAAGAAAGTCACCGGAAGGGGAATTGCTTTTTATGGAGCATCAACGAGAATCCCTGCGAAGAGCACGAGGTGCCCGGATTCCTGGCGGGAGGTGAATGCGGAGGCGGGTTGTGCCACCGCGGCTCCCGAGAGCCCATGTGCTGCCGCGCGGTGCCTGCGTGGCTGCGGGCACGGCTCAGGCGCGGGGTGGGAAGAGAACAGATCAGGTTAAAGGAAATGAAGAGAACGGAATCGGGAATAGAAGTGGCCCCTCAGGCGTCACGCCGTGAGCAGGGGTCACTGTCGGGGCTGGGTGAAGGTGGAGGTGGATCCCTGACCATCATCTGGTCTCTAAGCACCAGCTGAGCTGTGGCCGCTGGCCGTGGGCACGCTCTGGGATGGGAATTCTTCTGGGGATGCTTGAGATGGAGGGTGCTACTTTGCAGTTGGGGCTGGCTGGGAGCATGCACATGGCCATCCCAGCTCAGCTAACGAACAACTCGTTAAACCTGTGCGACTTGCTCACCCTGAGTTGTGTCTGTACCCTTGGGAATGGTTTCCAGATGAGATAAGCTCAGCGAAGCTCTCCCTGTTCCCCGCAGATGCCACAAGGTCTCGGTCTGGACCTCAAGGTGTTGGATCCCATGGGATCTGTTCCCTGCAACACCAGGAAATTTGTCATTTGCTACCCAGATGGGTTGTAATTCCCTCCCCAGAGACCACACAGAAGTCTTCAACGCTAATAACACTACATGACAAGCCCAGCAGTGTCTAACGTTTCTATTTCTTATTCCTTCCCCAAGACCTATGAGCAGAACGAATGGATAATCCACTTGGCTGGGAAGCTGCTGGCCCAGGAAGAGGAGACCTTGTCCTTGATGGCAACGAACCCGTTTGCAGGCAGAGCACCCCCACGGTAAGCTTTGAGTTTTGCCAAGGGAGCTGGAAGAGCACTCGGGCTCCGTGTTGTTCCTACCTTGGACGTGCATGCGTTGGTTGTGTCGATGGGTTGAGTTTCATATTTGATGGTACCCAGGTGGTCTTTAAACAGGGTGAGGTCGACAAGAGGACACCATGAAGAGCTGGTGCTCTCAGCACCTTAATTCCTGGTGGGGACACAAGGACCCTTTGGTTGGGCCCGTTCCCAGGCGGGTCTGCGAAGGGTTTGACGTTGCTTCTCTTGGACAGAAATCGCGACTGCTCAAGTGGTTTCCTGCCCTTCAGCTTTTAGATTTTTTGCCATGATTGCTTTGCTCACATCAAAACTGCCATTTCTAAGGTATTTCAAAGACAAAAATGCTTAGTTGTGTAGACACTTGTCTTGGAAGTGTTTGTGTTCTCAAGGAAGAGACAAAGCAAACATCAGCAAGTGAAAGGCACCGATGAAAACCTCCAGGTTTTCTACAAAAGGAGATTTTTCACAAAAGTGTCTGTTTTGTTGCTGAGGTTATTTTTAGCTGAGAAAACATTTTAAGGGAATTTTGGATCAACGTAAGTAATATTACACTTTTGCTAATATTTTCCATTTGAGGCTCTCAAGATGCACTGCAAACAAGGATGGAGGTTCATGGCACCGTGTGAAATGAACTTCCTCTTGAACTCAGCTGATGTTTTTCAGCTTTAGTGCAGTGCATCCCCCAAACCCGCCGAGGAGAGACTCCTTCTCCAGCTGAGACACTAAAGAACTTCCACCTTTTACCAAAGCACTTCCTCTGAGATGGTTTACACATCCCGAGATGGTGTAAATGTATAAACCCAAGATGGTTTATGCTGAGCTGAAGGTGTGTCTGCATTTAGCCTGCAAAAAAAAAAACCAAAACAGAGCAGCAGCACAGCTTGAAATCAAACCGCTAAGTGAGTTTCTCACCATCATATTTGAGTATTTTCTCATAAGTCCATTTCTGGGTTCCCCTGGTGACCATCCCTGTCTCACAGTGCACAGGCACCTTATCAGAACAGCAGTACAGGCTGATGGAACATAATCCTTCCAAGTGCAGGAGCCAAGGCCGCTGTAAGAACAGTTATTTTGGGGTCTTTGCACATATTCTCATTTGATAACTCGTTTTCCTATCAGTGCAGCATCACAGAGTGAACCAGCGGGATCCTGCCCGTAGCCCAGAGACGCGCAGCGTCACCGTGGTTCCCATAAACCGTAGAATCCTAGAATAGTTTGGGTTGCAAGGGACTTTAAAAACCATCCAGTTCCAACCCCCGTGCCATGGGCAGGGACACCCTCCACTACACCAGGTTGCCCAAAGCCCCATCCAACCTGGCCTTGAACACTTCCAGGGATGGGGCAGCCACAACTTCTCTGGGCAACCTGGTCCAGTGCCTCACCACCCTCAGTATAAAAAATTTCTTCATTAGATCTAATCTAAATTCCCCTCTTTCAGATTAAAGCCATCACCCCTTGTCCTGTCACTACACACCCTTGTCCAAAGCCCCTCTCCAGCTTTCCTGTAGCCCCATTAGGTACTGGAAGGCTTCTAGAAGGTCTCCCCAGAGCCTTCTCTTCTCCAGGCTGAACAGCCCCAACTCTCTCAGCCTGTCTCCATAGCAGAGGTGCTCCAGCCCTTGGATCATCTCCGTGGCCTCCTCTGGACCCGCTCCAGCAGCGCCATGTCCTTCTTGTGCTGGGGTCAACCAACAATGGTTTATGGCTCAGGGCGCGTTACAGGGTGATGTCGCAGTTGGTTGGGTCACACAAGCAGCAGATCTGTCACACACAACTAGTGACACATGGGCTCTGGCTCAGGAGGGCTCCGGGAACCTCTTACTAATTATTGCTACAAAAGGCGTGGGGGACCAGAGCAGCCCAGCCCCTGCCACGGGTGGGCACAGCAGTAGGGTCTGTGGCTGGTGACAGCGAGCTGGACCCCCCGCTGCCCCCTGCCACCTCCTTTTTGGGGGCTGATGGAGGCGGCACCTTTCTGAGGACCAGGGAAGGGGCACGGTGCAGCCCCAGCGCCTGCACAACCGCTCACCTGGCAAAGGCGGCGGGTGCCTCGTTAGGGTGCTAACGAACGCGGACACAGACACAGCCCAGCAAGATGGGATCCAGTGGGAGCTGGGTCGTGTGGGAGTTTGTCGGGGAGGTGGTGCTGGGGCATGGTGTGGAAGAGCGAGTGGAGAACCTGCACCGCGTCTGCTCCGTCTCGGGTGGATTTGTCTCCAAATTTCGCTCGGGTCCCCGAGGCTCAGAGCCATAAATTCACCGAGTAGCATTCATTGCGGGGTGTTCCTTTGCGTCGCTTAATTTTTTTATTAAAAAAAATTTAAAAAAAAAAATAGAAGAAAGGAAGTCAGAGCTGAGTGCCGGCTGACCCCGGGGCGGTTTAGCAGAACCTGGGATCTTTAGGCACCGAGTCACCAGTTCAGATGAGGTGTCCCCCAGTGCCAGCAGCCAGAAGCCACGACCATCTGGTGGCTGCTGGCAATAAACGGCTCTCACGGTGCCCGGAGCGACAGAAGCGTTTGATAATCCCAGAGCTGTTTATTACCACGTGTCCCCCAGTGCTGTAAACGTCGCTCCCAGTGCTCACCGCGACCGAGGCTGGAAACAACACATCTTAACAGGTGAAAAATCCAGAGAATGTAGATCAGGTCTTGCCTTCCCAGACTTTGCTGTGGATGGGCTGCGTCTCTGCTTTCTGGCATCAGTGGCATTTAAAAAAAAAATAAAAATGAAGTGGTTGAACACAGGAACTCTTTTTAAAAAGAAAATAATGAAGGGGGATGTGGCTGGGATAACACGACGTTGCTCCAGGTGCTGAATAGAGTTTTTTTTATTGTATTCCGTAACAAGCCAGCAAGTGAAACGTTGAGGAATTTAAAGGAAAACCGAAAGCAAATCTTTATCTTTGTTCGTATTTGTAGGATAAGGATTGAAGGGACACAAGCAGGTCCAACAAGAATTACACAGCAGCGAGGGCGCTGTGTCGAGCACGCGGTGCTGTAGAACGTGTCGAACAGGGTCTTGATTCACGCGTTACCTCGGTTTAACCAAAGCACAGAGTCTGTTTTCCCTCTTCAGCAGCTTGTTTATAGTAGGAAAAGATCAGGATCCAGCGCTGGTTTTACGTGTCAGCTGCCTTTGCTCTGGCATTAGTTTTGCTGTACAAGTTTTTCATGGGTCTAGCGTGTTTTTGGGTGGCGTAAAATAAAAATAACAATCTGCGAACGCTCGTTTTGGCTCAGACCAAAACCCAACACCCCGTTTCGCTCTGGGTCCTGGCTCGTGGGTCACGTTTCGGGTTTTGGGGAACCAAATCCAAACACCTGGGACGTTGGCACCATCCGGATTTTTACCCCGGTGTGAAGGGGAGGGCTGGGGGAGCGGGTGGGTGCCGGGGTCAGGGTGGGATCCTGCGCCGGG